GATCAGGAAAAAAATTTCCCCCATGCTGTTGTAACTTTGAACCGTAGCTACATAAATGGTTGTAAGTCGAGGATTGCCTGCGGACTAAATTTGGCTTTTACAAATAGAATAAGAGTTGGAAGGGACCTTGAAGGTCTTCTAGTCCAACCCCCTGCTTAGGCAGGAAACTACACCACCTCAGATAAATGGCTATCCAACATCTTAAAAATTTCCAGTATTGGGCTATTCACAACTTCTGGAGGCAAGTTGTTCCACTGATTCATTGTTCTAACTGTCAGGAAATTTCTCCTCAGTTCTAAGTTGCTTCTCTATTTGATTAGTTTCCATCCATTGTTTCTTGTCTTACCTTCAGGAGCTTTGGAGAATAGTTTGACTCCCTCTTCTTTGTGGCAGCCCCTGAGATATTGGAAGACTGCTATCATGTCTCCCCTAGTCCTTCTTTCTATTAAACTAGACATACCCAGTTCCTGCAACCGTCCTTCATATGTTTTAGCAAGTAACTTATTTTAGAAAATAAATTTTAGCAAATAACTTACTTTAGAAAATAACTTTTTCTTATTCCTAGATGTATTCCTTTAGGACCTTTATATTCCCTTTCACAGGTGTTGCCAGTTTTAAGTCTCTGTGCATTATCACATCAGTTGGGACTTTTATATGTCTATAAGAATAACAATGACTTGGGGATGCCTGACTGGCTGGCACGACTTAAAAAGAAACAAAGGTGGTAAAAATAAACTGGTACACTACCACAGGCTTCTGCTACGAACAGCCACGGCACGAAAAGGATGACACGTGCATCAGGGGATCGCAATGTGAGCCTCGCCCCCCCGCCCCACTTATATCTTGCCATTGCACACATGTAAGCCAGTGACATGATTTGCACCCTGACATTGCGACACATGTTTAATCATTTCACCACCACCATCACCACCACCGCCTGTGCCTTTTCCCCTGTGGACATCCATGCCCAGAAGTCCTTCAGGGGACAGAGCAAATGTACACAGCATCTATTTAAAAGAAGAAGTAGCTGATTGATTCTGCTTTGAGGTTAAAAGCAAAATTGCTTTGGAACAGTGCGTTGCAAAAGAACTTCCCACAAAGCATCACAGCATTGTTAGCGCAAAGGCATCAGGCAAAAGGTTCGCAGCTGACTGAAAAACCATGATTCCAGCCGTGTCAATTTTTACACTCGGGTAAAGAGCCGGAGAGTTCCAAAACAATTCAGGCAGTCTTCGACTTACAACACTTCGCTTAGTGGCCATTCGAAGTTACAACAGCACTGAAAAAAGTTTGACTTACGACCATTTTTCGCACTTATGATGCCTGCAGCATCCCACATGGTCACGTGATTTACATTCAGATGCTTGACAACTGACCAGTGGTGGGTTGCAGGTGGTACGCCCCGGTACGGGCGTACTGGAGCCTGCCTGGAGCACTGGATACCGTTCCGGTATGGTGCTCCAGAGGGCCCGCCCGCCCGAGCTCCTTACCGGTCTTTTAAGTCTTTGGTGATCAGCGCACAGTGCGTACAGTGCTTGCACTCCGCTGAGCAGCTGGAGTGTCATGGAGGCACTAAGATGTGTGCACGCATCCATGTGGACACCGCCGGGCCCATTCCAACCATACCGGTTGGAAAGGGATCCGGAACCCACCGCTGCAACTGACTCACATTTATGACCGAGGTGGTGCAGTGGTTAGGGTGCAGTACTGCAGGCCACTTCAGCTGACTGTTATCTACAGTTCAGCAGTTCTAATCTCACCGGCTCAAGGTTGACTCA